GGGGGCGGGCGCGAGTACGCGGGCGCGAGCTTCGGGCGAGGGAGCGAGCTTCTCCGCAGCAAAAGAAGTCGAAGGAAGAAAGAGGAAAAAGGACCGGTGAGTACGCCAAGTAGTTTCGTGGCTTCAAACACCATGGACCGCGTCCACCCAAAAATATCAGGATCCAAAAAACTATATATGGATTCCGGATTCCCTTAGACTTGTTCAAAACTGGGATTCCGTGACAAAGGTTGAATTTCTCATCTCCAAAATGTCAATTGCACAGCCAGAAACAGTGCCCACAAGATCAAGATCTAGGATAAGCTGATCTGAGGTTTCAGTCTCTTCTCCTCGTTTTTGGAGTCGAACTGAGAAGACTGATTATAAACATCCACACCCATCAACCCCTCAAATAGCTCATCTGCATACAGTAGCAAATGCCTCAAAGTTTACAGGGCCCAGCTTCCTGCACGAGATCTCATGCTGAATGACTAGGCGCGAGGCCAGCGACACCAGAAGGCCTGCTGTGGTCGTTGGAATTTGGCAGCCCTTATGCATTTCAACATGGTTTGTGAATGGAGTTCCATACTCCAAGTGGCCCAAGAGGTTCAGGACAGTTGAGGGACAATGAGAGCATGAATGCAGTTTCGAACAACACCAGCAAAGCATCTCCAAAATGAATTTGAAGATGGTTGACCTGTCATGTTTCGCCCTCGAATCCCCATAACATTTGGACATGTCTAGAGGGGATGAGCAGTTCTCTGAAACCCCATGCTTGAACAAGGACTACCCAATTTGCCCTGACAAAGCAAACCTAGCTTCCTGGTTTCCCGCTGGTGTTCCTGTGCGGCAACTCACTCAAGAATGAGGTTGACAAAATATGAGTGATGAGGGTTGGACAGGGAATAAATTTGATGTCAAGTGAACCCCATCCACATTCACGTCTTTCAATCTGTAAACATCTTCAGCTCCAATGATGTGTTGGCCTGTCACACTATGAACCTCCCCTACAGCCCGCTTCACTGCCATGTCTTCATTCAGTTCTTGCTTTGTAGCATGAATCAGTCCGTCTGTATCTTGCAAACAATACCAAAGGATACCAAAGGTGCCAAACAGATTTCTTCAAACACTGCGCCGAGGCTGCTTACATCCGCTCTCAGTAAGTAAGTATCTGTCTTTCCTGAGGAACCAATCCCATCTCAGCATTTGCAGCTCAACTCTTCTGCGGAACTCTCCAATCAGATTCCACCACCTGCTGTTTAGCCCGATCAGGACCTCCTCGACCAAGCCCTCACCACTGTATGTTGAATTTATGAGTTCACAGTTCACAAGTAGACTTGGTGAAAAAAATAAAACAACCGAGCTCCACACGTTCCTTATCCCAAAGCACCACACTGGCTTGCATGAAATCAGGGGTCTCCCAACCAATGCTGGCTGCATGTGCTTCAGACTCTCCCAAGAGGACTCGACTTCGGCCTGACCGTCCGGTCCCTGCGGTCCGAGCCACGCCAACGGCCGTCGGAGCCGTCGGGTTCGCTCACGGTGCTCAGCAGCCGTGGCCTCGTGAGCGCTCGTGAGGCCGTCCGTGTGAAACACCGGCTCCGGTGCCCGGAAAGAAGGCGTTTTTGATCGTTTTTGTGGTGTTTTTTCCCTGGGGGGGCTCTGGGAGTTGTTGGCATTTCTCGTCTTTTGATACTCTTTTGATCGTCTTTTTGGAAGACGGTCTTCATGAATGTGGAGTCCCTTCATGCTTGGATGGCAACCTGAAACGGGGTGGTCTAAATTCCTTGAACACCAACATCGATCTCACCGATCAAAGATGAGGCCCGATAGTAGAAGACTTTCACTTCCTGAGACACCGGGTGCACGGAACGGTCTCAAATGCTACAGATCTGTTACGGAACGGTCTCAAATGCTTACCAATATATCTTACCTAATTGTTGTCCTGAGTCGAACTGTTCAGTCTTCCCAAGTTCGTTAACCAGGAGTCCAGCAGGAGTTTTCTGGTCCTTGATCGGTCGTATGGGCAGTCACCAAAACATCCACCTCATGGGTTTCGGTTTCAGTCTGCTTGCATCTGCTTGCCCTATCCAAGCAGTGGGGAATTCCTAACAAGACACACCGTCAGAAACACCCTTCCTCTTTGGCAAGATACTGCATGACTCAATGCAAACGACACGCACAAAAAAATGATATGATAACCTTGAATGTGTTGTCAAAAAGTCAAAAACCTTGGTTTCCATCCTGAGACTTGGATGATCTTGGATAATGTAACTTCCAAATAACGTATCAACCAAGAATTCTCGCATGTTCTCGCTCCTCCAGCTAGAACACCTGAGCCTCTGGCTTCTGAAACGAGTCCACCGAAGTCCAAGTGGACCTGAGGACATCGCCGCACGGCTCGAGGCTCCGAGAGCACGACCGACATGCCGAGGTCGACCCATCACAGCCTCGCTTCATGCTTCCCAATCGACCCCTCGCCGCGGGTCGATTAATTGAGCCATGAGTTTTTAGTTTTTACCTGTCAGTCATGTGAGTAGTCTTAAAACATCTTAAAACAAACAATTGTTTAAATACTGTACTTGCTATATATCTACCGATTCTATCTGCTTATCTGTCCATCACTGTGTGTCTCTGTCCATCTGCAGCGTTAAGTCACCCAAAAAACGGCAGCCATAGGCAGGCGGCTTACCATATAGGCACGTCTTCACTCAGGAAGAAAAACTCATTAAGCGTTAAGTAATACCTCAAAGATCTGGAAACACCATGGACAGATTGCGGTTTACGCAGCAAGTAACATCATTAAACATCTACTTGTACATGAGACGGGACTTATCTAGATGCAAAAAGTGATCATATGTACATCAGATGAGATGGGATCTTGCAACAGGCACAAAACTGCCGGAATCAGATGAGACAAGAAACTACTTCTTTTGGCGTTTCACTACTCCCGCCTCATTTCCAGTCAGTATAGATATCAAGAGAGACTACCTGCTGAGCACCCCTTCTCAGAAACTGCACTGTTTCATCTATGAATGTATGTTTTGAAGGGTGTTTCCAACATGGGCACGCCAGGTAGTAGGCCTTAGCAGACCTATGATCTTTATTGGTTGACAAGCTTTCGCTTGCCGCATGTAATGCCACGTAATGCCCCAGTGGAGAAGCCGAACATGACCACCACTGGTCTTAACTCCATAGTCAGGTCAGTTTTGTGGAGGCCAACCTCGCGAGAGGACCGCGCGAGGTGCGCCGGCACTGCGGTTGGTTTTACGCTTCCATCAACCTTGACGAACACATGCCATCAGCACACCATGCAACCTCCAATCACGATACATTCAAGATCAAGCGTTCAAACGCTAAACACCATGGGCACACCATGGCAAAGGATTGAACTTGCAAACACATCCACGAAACAACTCCACCTCCAATATGCAAAACTGTCCACCGCAAAAATACAACGACGAAACAACCTACAGTAACCCAAATATCTATCTGTTCATATATAGAGAAAGTTGGGTGGTCAATTATGCTCCACCGTGGTCGAGGTGGTCTTTCTCATTCGCACCAAAAAGAGCAGGGCCACAGTCAGACACCAATCATCACCAATGTGCAACATGCCGAAGCCAATGTGCAGCACCGATCGCTGGGAGAAACCGAGGGTCGAAATGGAGAAGCGTCAAAGGCGTGGCGGCGCGTTGGTTGGTTTCTGATGGCGTTCGTCGTGCCCTTCAGGTGGCGAAGGTGGTCATTTCGTCCTGCCCTTCAGGTGGCGTGCTCCTTTGTGTACAGGAGTTGAAGGACTCCTTGTAGCTGCTTGGTTCCCTGTTTCATTCATGGAGAATACGGAGACCCCAGGCTCCGCACCAGCTGCCTTAGCTCCCTCCCGTTACCGGACCAGCTAGTTGTGGAAGCTGATCCTACACGAAAGAACACATTGGATGTGGAAGGCATGGCCCGTTGGATGACCACTTTGTACTCTGCAAAGGTGGTGGTGTTCACTCCACTTCCAGTGAGCTGACTCGGAGTGAGGTCACCTTCTATGAGGGCTTGCGGAGGGTGGACAACACATCACATCTTGCCATACCGATACGTGTTTCTTATCCACTGCCACTGATTCCACAAAACTGGGGTTCAATAGATCGTGATGGCCACCTCCAAGGCATCAAAGTAGCTAATTATCAGAGTGGTTGTAAGTTGTAACAATATCCTAGCTGGTTGTGGGTCAAAACCAGGATACCTTGGTTGACCTACTTGGGACGTTACAATATATGTTGTTGGGGCTCCTGGTTTTGACCCCATCCCCATACAAAAGACCTCCTCGTGCACAGAAGACGCTCAGCCATGCAAGTGTGTCTTACGGTGAGCCACACTCTCTGACAATACTCCGCTGCCATGGCTTGGATGTCTAGCTTTAGTTCAAGCAATATTCCCTTCCAATACTCTGCCAAAAACACTCGATTCTTTGATGACTTCAGCGGTCCTCATTCCACCGGGCTCACCCACTTCAAATCTGCAACCGATGTGATATCGCGACGCACCTGCAATGGCGGATCAAACGCGCATGCGATCTCGCGGCAACGGCCCAAAGGATCAAGAGAGATGGATCCCAACTAAACCAGCTTCAGCTTCGGGGTCAAACCACCTGGATAAATGTTCAATGTTGCAAATTAAGAACATCAAAGGAACAAATCAGCGCCCGCTTATACGCATGTATATATATATATATATTTGCATAAATATATATACATTTGATTATATGCGCATTGTATATTTTTATATTGCAATACATGTACGTTGAGAGTTTGTAGGGGCCCTCAACCCGACCCCCAAGCTGCCTGCTGCATCTGTGCCCAATGTGCACTGTCGAAAAAATGTTCTGGACTCGATTCGCCAGAAGCGACCTCAATCTGCGGAGAAAAAACAAAGGCCGAAAACGATGCATGCACATACTGCGAGAGTGCATTCAATATCTGCCAAGCCTTCCCAAAGGCACTGCTCTGCATGACTGTCCACCTCTGTCTACCCATGTCTGGCCTAATCTTAGGAAGGCATTTTCTGAAGTTCGCACCGATCGCAAATGAGCTGCTTCATGCATGGGATAGTTGGACAAGAATCCTGGGCGAGCATTCCATCGGCCACTCATGATTGAAAAATGCTTTACCACGATGTTTTCATGGAACTCCTGGAACTTGCGGCTGAAGCGTGGCATAGTATGGGCAAAGTTCCTGCCAGTTGAGCGGTAAGAGATTGCCTATATGTGCCTGCCTGCAGTGGCCTTGATGTTCGATACTCCTACAGTAGATCCGTTCGGGATCTTAAACGGACCTACGTGTTGGTAGAAAAGGCCAGGTGGGTAGTTGGCACTCCAATACAAAGGACAGGTCATACAAGCTCGTACAAGGCTTATTACGTGTGTTGCTAATATTGCTGGTATGCCTGGGCCTGACAATAAACCTTGCCATCAAGCATGATCGCAGCGTTTCTGCAAGCACATGACGGCCAGCACTGCTAGATCTCTTCGGACTGTTTCACTGTCATGTGACATTTGTTCACCATGAAATACCTACTTCCATAAAGATCCAAACTGTCATCTTCCATACGTGACATTTGTTCATTTGATCTCAAAATCCAAACATCTCACCCACTCCCATCTTCCGCTCCATTCCGTCTTCTCCTCAATGGCTCGCTCCGTCCGGTAAGGCCTCGCTCCGTCCAGATTCGCCGTGCTGTCTCCGAGCTTTGGACCATTCGGCGGAGGGCGGATGAAGATGTGTGCCCCGAACTGGACAAAGAACAGGTGCCTTACTAGTAGTAACAGGTGCCTTACTAGTAGTAACAAGAAGCTAGTAATTTAGATTTAATTTATTTTAGTTTTAATTCTAATAGCTTTTTTGTTACTAGTAGTAAGGCACTTGTTACTACTAGCGTGGCACTTGTTACTAGTAGTAACAAGATGTGTGCCCCGAACTGGACAAACATGGTCCTTATACTGGCGCCGGTGATGCGCAAATCGAAGCGGTACAGCAACCTTTTGATGCCCATGCAAATCGAAGCGGGTGAGAAACAGGCACAAATCGACATATACGTATTAAACATATGTTGATTATATGTTGATTTGGAAGATATGATCTTCTTCGATGTGGTCATGAGAACATCTCCGGGAAGATCTTTCTTGGGCTCCCAGCAGTCGCGTCTTCCCTGTGGTTCCCAAATGCTGAAGCCCAAAAAACCTCAGCAGCCGCTCCGTTTTCCGAACATTTGGTCTATTTCCTTTGAGGTTTTTGTTGATCAACAAGTTGGAGAAACGATAAAAACATGTTCCAAAAGATGGTTTTTGTATGAACATATTTCTCTTGAGGTTTCTAGACACATACACCAGCTACATCCAGCTATATAACACTATATAAGTCCATCTTCTGCGGATCACCCGTCCAGTGGCTCTGAGGATCACCACTCAGTGGCATCAATCTCGCCGAGGACGAAGAAACGCTCCTTGCCCAACTTCGAGGCATAGAACCTGCCGATGACGGACGTCGTGCCTTCAGTGACTTTTCGAAGACACGCCACACGCAACCGACTCCGTGGGTGGGACATGGAGAAGTTTTTGGTCGTTCGCGACCGTGACCGGAATGGGACCCATCAATCAAAAACTGAAGATAAATGGACCAAAAACTGCCTGGAACCAAATCAATCTGGGTTTTTGAGTTGCTTGGTATTGACCCACAGCTCACTGTCATCCTTGAAGTCTAGTCTCGTGCAAGACCATCTGTTCTGTTGCAGCAGGCAATAACGGCCGCAAAAATATCCACAACAGTAGCGAAACCACAGTGCTGGCATGCCTGGTGTGTGTCGAGAGGTAAGCAGTGAAGTCCGAGGAGATATAGGCCGCAGATGATCTCAGCATGAAGTGCTGTGAAAATCTGTCAATCCTGTTCAAGCAGAAAGCCACAGCAAAGAATGCACGCTGCTCTTTGAAGATGGATTGGCGTGGATTTGTTCATGGCCATGGCCGCCGAAAAACAAAGGGAGGAAACTCGCTAAGTGCTCACTTCTGCGTCCCTACATCATATTTTCCCCTTGCCAACAAGGTTTCGTGCGTATGTACAGTATTTGTTGTGTGCCATACGCATACTTATCATACTACGCATGTGTATATATATATTATACATATAATATAAGTGTACTTCTTTCTTGCTGCCTCTATATACCTATACCCTCCGCTCTGTGCGCACGGAGACGTTGCCCTATACTACGCACGTGGGTAACTGATCTTGGCTTCTCCCAGATCTAGGCAATGGTGACCAGGTCGTCGCCAACCAAAGTTGGAGTGGGTCAAACAAAGTCAGTTTCTAGATGATACTCCCCCTGCGGATTAACATGGAACCTGAAAACCACTGTAACAGGAAAATCGTCCGTCCAGTCTGGTTCCTTTTCAGGTTCAAGGTGAATCTTCCCGGGTGCGTGGCTGACTGTTCTAGTTCCCTTTCTATTTCCCTTTCAAACAACGTATTCGCATCAATAGGTCTCTCTCCAACTACTCTGAGTGCAATCATGTGGATAGCTCAAGTGAAATCATTCCAATTTTTCACATCATGCATGGTGAACTGGAGCTGGCATGGATTCCAATCCTGTCTGATTGTTGTCCTTTTCACTTTTTTGGATGATGCAAGACAATCCTGAGGATGGCACACTCGGAAGCCATCAATGTCTGCGTAGGCAATCCAGTATTTCAACAGGTTAGTGTAGACCTGCGGTCATGGTGCCCCATCAAACGGAAGGCGAGAAGCCTCACCAAGAAGAAAAGATACATTGAAATGACTCGTGTGCTGACCGGCAGTTGTGCAATGGATTAAACGTATCAACTCACAGAAGAGCCCAGCGACAAACATTATCACATCAAAACCAACAAATACCTCATTTTCTGGGACTAAGCGGGTTGAGGATCAAAACGTGATACAAGATCTGAATGGTTCCGGATGCGCAAGCCTTGACCTTTGTGATCAAACATACTATGCCTCCAGCAGGATAACCTGCACAAGATTGCCCTTGTGACCAAACAACCATGGACCATCTCCCCAAACACCTCCCCGAGTTCCTCTCTTTTTCCGGGCACGGCCTCTTGAAAAGCCGGATTCATGGTGTCCTCAGTGGCCGACACTGCGGGAGTCACCGGCATGAGGAACCCCTCCGTCTCGGGGAGGTGGTCCCTGCAGTTGGGCAGGCCAACAAAATTGGCCTGATGTGCGCCATGAACGGCCAACAAGTGGGGTGTACTATGTTCCAATAGGGAGACACCCCAAAGAGGGCTGTGAAGGAATGTAGTGTAAAAGCCTCAGCTGCTGGGTCTCCCTACTACTCATCCCTATTCTAAGACAGGCCCAAGTGCTTTCCCTTATGCTGGTTACGACATAGCACGCCATAGCACGACCGTCCCACAGGACCGGGGTCGTGGAAATTGGTCGAGCAAAGCGGTGGAAACCCATCGAGCGGAGGAGCAGGAGCGCTGGATGCTGATCGATTCTCTTCCAATCCGCCCCTGCCATGCTTTTCCCATCCTGTTGAAGTGAACCTTTTCTTGCCAAAGACTTGTTGAGAACAACCCAAATAAAACAAACAAAGAACCGGAACATGTACCAAGACTCAATGGCAGTACAGAAGGCGCTGGGTGTGCAACCAGGAGGTGACTAAGATGAGAGTTTAATTGAAACGGTAGAAGAGCAAGAATTCAAAGGTGAGAAGTGAGAACGACAAATGATAGATCTGATCCAATTCCTACATAGTCTGGTTTTGGGAATCTATCTAGATCAAATTCCCACATAGGGACTCCCGTCTGATCTGATCCAATTCCTACATCGTCTGCAGACATCTCAAAAAGCGCTCAAACGCTTAGTTAGACCTGACTCTGAGGAGTGCTTGAATGGACGAACGTTGAATGGACGAACCCTCAATTGGTGAAAGAATGGTGAACCTGTGACGAAGAAGGTCCTAACGTTGGTGAACCTTGGTTCGTGCACTTGTCACCCAAACCCCAACCAGCGCCTTTTCGGCTTGTCAGCTCTAGTGTGGCCACACGGAAGTGAATTCGATCCAAACATCCCAAGGCAAGATATGCAGGGGAAATGTAATCCAAGGGAAGATCTCGCAACCAAAAGACTCTTGGACATTCAAGTGTGCAACCGTACCGTTGAACACCCAAACTGCGTGACATGTTTTCTCCAAATGAACGTGGCAACTCAAAAAGAGGGTGAAAACTCTGCCACCACGAGGCTGACATGGGTGTGCCTCAAATGAATGGAGATTTTAGGCTCACAAACGTAATGACTCTATGTCACAGTACCCCAAGAACTATGCCATATACATGGAACTGGTGCTACATCTGATCATCAAATCAAAATAAATACCTCCAAAAGATCTGATAAGGTTGTCACCCTGGGTGTCTTGAAAAGGCTTCCGGTCAAGCCTGCCGTCTGCCGTCTGCCGTCTGCCCCATTTTTTGCGCCCAGCGACAAACTCAAAGTTCTCATCTCCCAAGAACTCAGTCCAAAGCAGGGCAGCCTCACGAGATGGGTGTGACCCTTTTTTTGATAGTCAACATTGCCTTTCACAGTGATGACCCCTGAGATAGCATTAAGGCTGGTGAACATAGGATTGGCGAAACCTACAGTGGCCACGGGCCTGCTGGTGTCTTCCAGCAGCCGCACCAGGACTGTTTCGGGACACTCTTGGAGGGGCACAGGGGCGGCTCCCTGGGAGCACATGATAAACTCACAAACATTTAAAGGCTGCGCGCAGTCCACAATATTCCACAGCCCATGCTAGTAATCTCTAACTGGCAGTGTTTCATCATATCATCTGTGGGGGTGATTGTCAGCTATTCCACGCAGGCGACTTCAAATGAGACTACTTTGTTGGAGTTGGACCTTGACTTCTTGATCAATGAAACATATGCAAATAGCGCCCTGTTCATGTCATATTGCTACTTTCTTACACCCTGTACGTCAAATTGTGTCAAAAACGAAATGGGTACAACGTATACCCTTGCTATGAGTCGTTTTTGTTGCTCTGGTCTCAAGCTGGAAAGTCTTCAAGCTGAATTGTTTTTTCTTGTAGAAAGTTGGGTCCAAATAGCGAACGCCCCCGTAATGTAAAATGAAAACTGCTCTCCCGTTTTATCTACGTCACCGTTTTGACGAGTTGCTTGGCTGGATGATAAACAATTATCATAGCTTCCGAGAGGAAAATCGTGTAAAAATATGGAAAGCAACAGTCATACAGTATGGTCGGAAAAATGCACCTAGAAGATCCTAGAAGACTCATTGGTTTGTACAGGAAACGATCGTCGAGTCCAGGTCGAAGTTCTGGTCTCACCAGGGGAGCTGGTTGAACCATTACAGTATAGTTCTAAAACATAGAGGAGAGAGAGAGAGAGTACGCCGTACGCGGAAAAACTGCTTTCACATCCCTTGACCACGCCATATTCCGCGCCCACGATGTGATCACCATTTCTCCTCCCGCCCGTCGAGAGACGGTGTCCGTTGAAACGCCACTGCGACCGTCGCGACCGTCGGCTGTGGAGAAACCTTCAACCTGCGGCTCGGTGCGAGTGTTCTACTCTACTGCGGTGGGGTGCGATGCTGCCACTTGCTTCAGTGTTTCAGAGTGTTTCTAGTGCTGCCACGCTCCAACGAATTTCGGAACACACGGTGTGAAGTTCATCGCCCTCTGCAGGGCTTGAGTTCACCTGCGGGCAGTGGTTGGTGAACCTGTATTTGGGAGTCTTCATAGAGCATTCGTTTCAAGGACCCCAGAGGTGCCGATAGTCAAAGTTGATCAAAGTTCATTTTGACCATCGCGTCCAATGGAACGGAACTTGATGAACTGAGCCATCCATCCAACACAACAACCGTATCCGTATCCCGTGGTAACAGCGCTGTCGTATCAAACCCAACGATTCTGTCGTATCAATTGCAGCCTGATGGGCCACGGCACAGAAGGTTTGGATCTGCCATCTTGGCAGAGGAGTGAAAGCGTGACAAGGACTCGTTGGAGTCTGTGCGGAACGAATGCTACTCCTGCCTCCTGCCTCAGTCTACATGCACCAACTGATCAAACTCAGGACATTCTCATGCCCATGGGCCACGGCACAAGTGGTTCTAAATCTGCAAAATTGGACCACTGGTCAATCAAACGCTACAACTTGCTAGCAACCAACCAGTTGACAGGCATGTGCGCTTCTGATGGCTTCTGGAGGTTCGAAACTGCCACCTCTTAAGAAGCCATCGAGCCGGAGGCATCACCATCGAGCCGCTTTTACAGCTCAACAGTTCATGCGTTCGAGAAGTGCTGACGATGGCTGCGTATGACTGCTTGTGTTTGTGCTTTCTCATGGCGTTTGTACCGGAGATTCTTGTCATTGCCTAGAGTCCTAGAGAAAATGGCACCTGCTACTGAGCGACAAGTGGGGTCAAACACGGAACAATTGCGAAAAGGGACTGACCAAAGGACAAGTTAGTGGAGCAAACCTGCAGGTGTCCTCGTATTTGTTGAACTTTAAGCATCTTTAAGCTATTGTCGTCAGTACACACCAGTGGAGATGACGAAAAACATGCCAGTCGCCAGCACGGACGTCGCCAGGCTGTCCTGGACGTCGCCTTCTTGCCCGTGTTAGGCAAGTTGACGATTGCCCAATATTCCAGGGCCTGTTGAACCGCGCTTCCCGTAGCCAGACATCGTCTGCACTGTCGCACCTGTCCGTTGGCATGAGATCGATTCATGAAACTTCCGTCTTAGACACAATGGCAGCATCAAGTCCGAACAGAAAATGGAACACAAAATGGATTGCACGGCTTTTCAGCCCAGTTCCGTCCGCCAACCCAGTTCCATACCCAGCAGTAGAGTTTCACCCGTCCGCCTGGCCCCACTGCCGATCTTCGGGTGGGCGAACCCAAGGAACCGGCGAATTGTCCCGGACTCCCGCTCTGAGTCAAAGGCGATTGCCTCGATGTGTCCCGCGGGATTTCCACATGTTTTCGACGGTTTTCTGGGAAGGCAACGAAGATCAATAGCTAAAAACAAAAACCGTCCCACCACTATGCATCTGAAGGATCTGTGGCTCGGTTTAAGCATTTGCCTATAGCTTGCATGATTCTTGCCCACAAACTTCAAGATCCACAGCTCCCCCGCAAATCCTCACCACCAATCTTAAAGCAAATTTCGACGATTTTCTCACTTAGGGGATTCACTCTGACACGCTGCTCATGTGCATGCTCACTGTATCTCACTCTCTCAAGTCCATGGCGCACTCCTTCGCTTCTCGTTCGCTCGCGTCCTCCGCGTCCTTCGCTCGCTCCAAGCCACGGGTTATTGCCTGGAGATCTGATCGGTGCACCACTCGGCCGAGGGATGCTGGAGGCTTTGGTGTACGAGACGACTGGCACGGACAAGACTCGCATGATGCTGTCCAACTCGGCCTGATTTCAGGACGGGACCCGCACCGGCGAGACAGCCATTGCCGCGGCTGGCTGAACGAAGCAACGTTTAAAGGGACCAAAGGAAACTCTTAGGTAATTACCATGGTGGGGCGTGCCTGGAGCTTCGACCCCAGAATTGAAGAATTCGTTGTTTCAAAGGAATTCAGTCACTTTGCAGCAAAGGACTCTAACCCTGGCACCGTGCAACCCTGGCACCGTTTCAAAGAAGCCAGAACGAAGCGGAGCCGCGCGGTCCGAGCGGAGCAGTCCTGCACAGCCTCCGCCTGGTTTTGCAATTGCGCCGAAGTCAACAAGTGGCTTTCCTCAGCCAAAATCGAACATGAGACAGGAGGCTGGAACTGCAGAACTATAATAACTCTATATATATATATATGCATGCTTAGCTTTCCGTGGGCCGTAGTTGGTAGTCGGGAAAACAAAACCTTTTTTGGGCAAGCCTCTGAAATACTACAACATTCTATAACCAAACATCTTCTGCAAAGCTATGTAAAAGTAGCAGTAGCACAATATTTGTCTCCCTCGAGCGAATTCAACAGGATCCATGTTGAATAGTCATGAGCTCGGGCTTTACAGGAGAATGCATCAAGAGTGGAACTCACTCCTTGTTGGCGCAAAGGCCAACAAGTGGGAGTGAACCCGTTCCAAGGGATCTCTGATTCGCGAGTCCTCGTTCTCGTCTTTACAAGAAATCAAGGCTAGCCAAGCATCCACCAGATTTCGGTGATCATCGTGAAGGGAACTATGTCCGACCTGCGCTTCCTGTCAAAGAGCTGGGAGAAAAAAACACTTTGGAAAAGGTATAGGGCATAGGGTGCAAAACTTGGCGTTGTTCAAATGCAACACTTAGAAAAATGCAAGCCTTGTTATCTGACAGCATTTGCATTAGCATCACTACTATTCGCT